AGATGCAAGACTTAGGGAACACCAGTCTTTATGTGATTACACAACAACACTACAAAACATACTGTTTCAAAGCCGAAATCTGACAAAGAATAAGAAACCAACATTTGATCTCACTATAAAAATGATCATGTTGTCTGTATGTCTGTGTTAGCATCCATCACCCAGAGTTGACCGGATCGATTACCGTAAATATTTGTATGGTAACTGTACAACGATGTACATGGACTACTTTGATTTAGGATTTTTGCCTGAGAAGGTTATAACAAAAAAAACCTGTAACAGGACACATTTCCACTTTTATATAGACTTGAATTCAGATAAACAAGTACTTAATCAGTTACACGAGTCAATTTTTTTTGTTTGTTTGGAATTAAGCAAAATGCTACACCGTGGGCTATCTGTGCTCAGCCCATCACGGGTATCGAAACCCGGTTTCTACCGTTGTAAGTCCGCAGACATACCGATGTGCCACTGGGGGGGGGGCATAAATCAATTATTAACATCCACAAAATAGGGTATGCAATTAGCATCTAATGACGTCATTAGGGATTTAATAACAAAACAAGAATTAAGAGTGGGATTAATCTAACATTGTATTTTATACAATTTTTTGCTTTAGATAGTCTGTAATGAAAATCACGTGCACTGCAGATGTTTCTATTCACATTTCCATTTCAGATCTTTCTATCCAACAAAGATACAATAACAAGAGCATCTGTGATTTTTATCACAAATCTATCGTCTATTTTATGCTGCTTCGCCACCTTTTGGCGTTTAAACCGCAACTTTTAAAGTACTGTAAACCTTTTGTGTGTCTTTAGGGCTCTCTTGGGCAAAAGTGGTCTTTCTACGCTGTGTCTGCCTTAGGATTCTAACCTCGAGTTTTATCGCTCAAGCTTACCACTGAGACGTCAGAGAACTCTCATACAAAAGATATTTTATTATACGCAGTGGAATTCTTATACTGACTGTATGATCGGGAAGCCAAAAATGTATGACTTGATCAGAATAAAGTATCTAAAAACCATGGAAAATGAAACCGGTGGTCACGATAACCTCTTCTCCGACATACCTGTAGTATGGTTGACATATTATTATTATATATCTTTTCACTTTACTTGAAGTCAATTTGTTTGTAATTGAGCACCAAGCTACACAATGGGCTACCTGTGATCTTCCCACCACGGGTATCGAAACCAGGTTTCTAGCGTTGTAACTCCGCAGACATACCGCTGTTCTTACAAATCCTGAAATATAGTTCGATACGATGTGTGATCTAAGATTAACCTCGCTTCTATTGCAGAAGTTGTTTTAAATACTCCAAATACCCGATGTGGTCTAAGATTAACCTCGCTTCTATTGCAGAAGTTGTTTTAGGGTATTTGGAGTATCGATGTGGTCTAAGATTAACCTCGCTTCTATTGCAGAAGTTGTTTTAGGGTATTTGGAGTATCGATGTGGGGTCTAAGATTAACCTCGCTTCTATTGCAGAAGTTGTTTTAGGGTATTTGGAGCATCGATGTGGTCTAAGATTAAC